GTGCTGCAGACAAATCGCTTTAGTGTAGTGTCTGTGTCGTGGTGAGGGCAGGAATCAAGATGCACTACCGCATTTTTAAAAATAATACTCGTTGTCATCGATGGTCATTTGACAGAGCCCACACTTATGTTGAAACCATCCTGCAAGACCATGTCTTCCGTTTTTCACGACTCACAGTCTATCGTTTCGATTTCTGGTACTGCTGTCCGTCAGCACTATATTTAGAACGAAGAACCCATTTTAGGTCCTACAGCTAGATGAATTGTGACAATCAATTGTGACAATTTCCCGGGAAAACGATGCCACGTCCAAGCAAGCCAGGAATCAAAAAGAGAATATTTGCTTTAGGCCTACGGGGGAAAATGCCCGTTAGATCTTGACAGTTGGGGTCACTCGCATAATGATTAGCAACATTACCGCAGTTTCGTTACCATAACTATGTTATAAGCAAAGTATCTTCAAATAAAAATTCACTTACACGGAAAAATGATTGCGTGAGATTCCATAAATTAGCTTGTATTTATAAAGGTGGCTCGATAGCTGACGTCTGGAAGATGGGCACTTGCATTAGGTGATGGTTTCAGCTATTCACTGTGCGTGCTTGAGGGGTGAGGCAAGGGATTTCTTTGAGTTGTGCTTAGAAGGAGCTGACATAAACTGTATTTTAAACACGTTTTTAAAGGACACCAGTTATTTGGGAGCGTGTTTGTTTTAACGGGAGACTTATTATTTTACATTGTATGGAGACTTATTGAAGGCGTAGACAAAATCTAGGTCATAAAGAGGATGAATACATTTATAAAGGAAGAGCAGTTAGGCAGTTAGTGAATGTCACTGAGGTTGTGTGAAGCATAGATATTTTTCCATTCCATCAGCTTCTTTGACAGTGTAGATGCTGAAACGAAAGCTGGTAAGTGATGTGTGAACATACTTTACTTTAGCAGTTTACAATGTTACGGTACTAATTATTGTACTCGTAAAAGTGTGAGTCTCTATATATATTCTACGAGGGGGGGTCTTTGGTCTGGGTATGAAGGAATCACGGTACAGTTATGAAATTTTAAAAAACAATTTCTTTGGAACACACCATGTAAATTTTCTGGAAAATCCTATAATAATAAGGCACTAGTCACAATTTCTTTAAAAAGATGGTGACTATGGATGAAACATGGATTTATCATTTTGATCCAGAACAAAAATGTCCTTGATGCAATGGAAAACCTCTTCTTCTCCCTCACCGAAGAAGGCAAAGGTAACACCGTAAGTGGAAAGGTCATGCTGTCGTGTTTCTGGGATTGTGAAGGTATCATCATAACTGAATAAATGTACCTGGAAAATGGAAAAATAGTCTCAAGGAACTACATGTACTATTTAGGTTTGCTGATAAAATTGCGGTCCGAACTGGTGAGAAAAAAAAGCGTGGATAACTCCGTAATGGGGTCCTCCTGCTGCTTGACAACGCCCCCGCGCACTCGGCGTAACAAACAGTCCAGACAGCAGAACAGTGCGCCTTTGAAATCCTGCCCTACCCAGCTTCTTCACCAGACTTAGCCCCTTCAGGCTTGTTTCTGTGTCCTAATATTATTTTTAAAAATAATTGAAAGGAGGCCGTTTCCAAGACAACGAGGACGCCACTGAAGCTGTGGAAGACTGGTCATTTTTTTCCTCAAGGACTTTAGAAGGTAAAAAAAGACGAGGCAGAAATGTATTACTCTGCATCGTGACTACGTAGAGAAATGAAAGAAGGTGTGCGAAGTTACAAAGCTCTATCTTTATTCCTTTATTATATCTAGACCAAAGACTTTTTTTACCCCCTCGTAGTATACATGTATCTGTTTTTTGTTCGGTGCTTGTTATGTAAGTTATTATTATGTGTGTATGTTTGTGAATACAAGTGAATCTTAATGAGGGTGTTTGTGTGTGTGTGTGTGTGTGTGTGTGTGTGTGTGTGTGTGTGTGTGTGTGTGATTAAAGAGGTGATTTTTGTTTGAGTCGTTGCCGATTTGTTGTTACTGTCTTTTTCTCTCTCTTTGTGGTGTGATTTCTGATTATGATCAGACATCTTATAGGTGGAATTTTTTTGCCTTCATATTCATTGGCATAAAAAAGACATTAGACTCTTTGTAGACCTATGCTGGGACAGAGCATAGTTTGAAGTATCTTTTATCGACCTGTTTCGTCAGGGACATTCTAGTGTCACCATAAATTTTCAGTCTACTTGTGGGTTTAAATCTTTTTGTTGGATATGTGTAAATAATTGTAAGCTGCACGATTGTTAAGCCCCCATCAACACTATTTAGCTTCATTCTGAAAACTGGGACAAGCATACTTTTACCAGTTAATATAAAGACTTCGTTATCTGTTGGCGTCGGTGGCCTAGTGGTTAGGCTACCGTGAGGTTGGGGGCCCGGCGTTGTGTCCTTGGGAAAGGGCACTATACATGAATTTTCCTCACTTCACCCAGGTGAAAATGGGTACCCGGCCATAGACAGCGAAAGATCTTGTCAGTATGTTAATGTTTTAGCGCCTATAAATGGCTGCTTGCACTGTATGCTTCCCAGGAAGTTGAGTTTGTTTCAGAATGCTCTCAGGTCTGCTGCTGGGGTAATAGTATAGATTGTGAAACGCATAGAGCCTGCTGTTGAGCGGGGATTTGCGCTATACAAATGCTATCTATCTATTATTATTATTATTATTATTATTATTATTATTATTATTATTATTATTATTATTATTATTATTATTATCATGATTATGATTATGATTATGATTATTATTATTAATAATAAAACGAGCATCGTTTTTAACAGTAGTAGAAAAATTCCTCTAAACAATGCAATGATAATGGCACCTCAACCCCCTCCCCCCTGTAAAAAAGCCACTCTGATTTACAAGTATATTTGGTCGCATTTAAGCACAAGGAGACTATCCCGAAAAAAATGCTCTTTTGAAAAAAATCGAAGGTAAAGCTTTTGCCCCTTGTTCAGTTTCTTTAAAAGACGAGGAGAATTTTCTCTATAACCAAACAAATATACACACCAATAAAACCAAACTTCTCCTATAGGTAGGACAATGCCCACTTTTGTTGTAGGTCAAAATTTCTGGAAACCCCCCGAAATCTGGGTTAGCTCGTTTGTCCTTAAAAGCGACCATTTTAACTAGGAGCAAAGCATCCCTGCATCGCAAAGGAAACAAAGCACAAACTCATATAGAATGCATCTTTATACCAACACTGTAGTTCCAAGCACTAACAAGGACAATAAACAAGAGTCACCAAAGTAAAATACATGTACTTGTATACGCCTTTGAAATAAGTTTGTAAGGAAAACTTTAAACATCACAAAAAAGACAGAGTGAGAAAAGAGATTGTCAGAGAACAAGTTGGCTCTGCTTGTAGTACTCTTTTCTTTTTTGTAAGTGTTTTACGGCGCTCGCAAATGCATAAGGTCATATAAGCGCGAGGGATACTTTAAACTTTTGCAGTTGGTAGGTAATTTTGAATTTTGCGCAGGTGGCGGCCGAAGCCTACTCTTATTGATTTTAGACCACCAAGGGATCTTTAACGTGCGCAACTTGCACACGGGCCCTCCGAGATTGTTCGCTCTTTTTCGAGAAGGCTAGGTATAGATATTTCCTACCAGAAGATCATAGGTGTTGCTGAAAGACAGCAGTAAGCAGGAGCCTAGGAGTAGCAGTAGAAAGGCTGCAGAAAGAGTCAGGAGCCCAGAGGAGGGGGCAAAGGATGTGAGGGGGTGGGGTGGGGGGAGGGGGCAGAAAGAGGAGACAAAAGCAGACGACAGAACATTGCTAGATCTAGAGAGCAGCAAAGGAGGTGAAAGGAGACAATTTTAGAGAAGAACATTTTTGGTCACTACCCGGATTCGAATTCGGGACCTTTGAATGAGAGGCCAACACCTTAACCTCTAGGCCCCGAGAGCCCCCTTGAAGTACTCAGATAAAAGACGATTTTATTCGTTTGGACATCAGTCAAGACTATCACCAAACATCATGGCAGCTAGAACATGCAACCAGAGAACAGCAGATGGACTTACAGAGGAAGAGACAGGCGCAGGAAAAGATGAATAGAGGGGTTAGTGTGAGAGAAACATTAGACAAAAATAACAATATTATGTTGGGGCGCGGTGGACAACGGTGTTCTTCAATTTTTGAGCTTGTGCAGGTGTTAAAATAATCTTCAAGCCTGCTTGTTTGTCCTGGCTTTGATTGGAATTAAACCCCATCTATCTTTAATCGAATTTTGAGTTATGTTTTCAGGAGGTGGGGGCGCGCTTGGTCTCGGAAGTAATGTAAGCATGAAAATGGCCGCCAAATTTGTCTGACTTATTAAGCCGTAGTGTCCTTGGAAACTGCAAATTCACATAAATTTTGTGCTTTTGATGAACGTTTTTCAGCATCATTCGTGCAGGGTCACAGGAACGTGCTTTTAAATTGACATAACGGGTGTTAGCCCCCACCCCCACCCCCA